CCTTCGCCACAGATCGGGTTTGCGGCCAACACAGCCTCCTATCCATTGCGTAAAGGGATTATTTGCTCGGGGGTAATGCGACTGAGGCGTGAAGCTGACCACTCACCTCCATCTAGTGATTAGGTGAAGAAAGCGTGGAGCTATTGCTACCTTCACTCCACTTCTCTATACGCTGCATGACTTAATGCTGAATTCAACACCAGGACCAACTTTCACTTTTATACGGGAAGCATCGCGTGTGTTCACGTCTGTCCAGGGATGACAGTGGGCATAGCCTGTAGAGGCTAACTGACGTTTATTAATACATTAATTACATCTGTTAAAACTTTTGTATATTTTAGGTAGCCTACGTGGAAATATATCCTGCAGTGAATATAACATTTTGTTTTTATTTGTTTGCGGTTACCATAGGAACGTATTTTCTAGCGTTAACGCGCTGTAGTAATTACTTTAGCCGATTTAAAACTAATGTATTACACCGCGAACCGAATTAATGAAATCCCCACGGTTGACAGCCCGAGAGGATTTTATCAGTTTAAAACTATAGGTAAAATAAATCATGACACGTGAAACGTCTTCCATTCGTTCATGCATGTTTCTGTTCTGTGAAAGCTTACGATAGTCGGTTATGTGAAGTGTGTATAGTATTTGTCATGGAATGCGAATTATATTGTATGTCCGAGATTTTAGGGATCTCGCGGCGGTGAAGATGATCATGATGATCTGGGTTGTGACTCCGTGTGGACTTGTAGGCGGTTACAAACATTTCTGAGGAACGTATCTCCTGTCTTTCGCTTCAGCCCTAAAGATGGAAATAATACGTTCCTCCGAAACGTTCGGAAGACAGCGTAATGTCACAACCCAAAAGACAACGATCTATATTTTAAAGCAAAATACTGGGACTTACAATAGGCCACTGTATGACTGAACCTGATTACAGTTTGTCCGTGTTTGCCTGATGCTTATTTGAAGCTCTTTGAGTGACAAAATCACAGGCGCGTTGAAAAAAGAACGTGGCGTATCCGTAACATCGTTTGATATCTCGATTAAGGGCCTGTGCCTCCTGGGAAATAAGCATGAATGTAAGTTATTATACATGACTTAATGTTCCACTGGAATTTGTCTTTCTTCTTATTTGCACCGCGAACAGCGTCTATACACAGGTAATTTTTAAAGCATCCTCCGAGACGCTTAATAACTCTGCGATAGGAGTGCGTCATTATTTATTGGGCGTGAAATTACCTTGCTTTTGTGATTCAGCGATGTGCTGTTGGTCCATAAATCACAGTAGATTGCTCGGATATGGCAGTGTTAGTGCAAACACTGACATTGTTCGAACGAGCCATTAAAATAATGACAGCTCTTTTTAGTCGGCTGGCCAAAGTCTCGCGATTGAAAGACTTATAACTTAAGGGGCCTCTACACGTGCAATATTAACTGCACAGTATCGGGTTTGCGCAGTTATAATTCATAGTGTAACAGCACTGAAGGTTTCACGTTGGCTGAAGAAACATTGAGCGAATTTTAAATGTAGTGCGTAAAGTCTTGCATCAGTTTTTATCGTCCGGTATCAATTCAGTCGTTCTGTCCTCACGGTGGGTGCATCAAGTACAACGGAGTTCATTATTGAATTTATTGAAGTATAGTGCAGTTTTCCAGCTCATTGGCAAGTGAATTTATTGATTTTTTATATGCAGTGTGAGTTATGATAAGATATAGCAATTCCTTTTCCTGACTCTCAGACTTCGATTTGCTGATAAAAACAAAAAGGACGCGCAGAAACATGTTGCAGGTGGCTATTAAAAGTCTTCACAATATGAAATTTATTCTATTATAAGGAGATTGAGAAATGGTGAATGGCTTTGAAAAATCATACATGAACAGAAGAACACAGCGCTGAAAATATTTTCTGTGGGCTCGGTTCGTGGCTCCCTGGTGGCTTCTACTTCTGCTTTCCTCGCACTGTAGCTGTATCAGATGCGTATCCCACGCGACGGCCGTTCCCTTTCGGCCTGGGTGTGCGTTTAATCAATAAGTTAAGCGCCACTCTCCCTGACGAACCAAGTTCAAGGACAGCACGCAGAAACAGCACGAGCCACTACACCAAGCTGCTCGCTTGATTCCAAAGTCTGTTTCCCTAAAATTTCGCCAAACGTCGCCGTCGAGTGGCAAGCACTCCTGATTCGTCTTTCAGGAAGTCACACGTTCATATCTGGGCCCAGAGATCGGCTGTTGTCACAGGTTTGATGGCTTTCCTCAGCCTCTCTGGGAAATACCAGGATAGTCTTTCTAATTAGGCCCAGAAAGCTTTTTTTATACATTCTTAAATCATTCATTATTCGTTATCGTTCTGTCATTCGACAGTACATGGTTTGAACTACAGACTTACGTAATATGAATGAAATTTGTTTTCAGAGGCCTCTGCACTCAGATGTCCTCTCAGCTGCTTCACTCAACTACCCACACTTCGCTACTCGTTTATTGATTTTAGGCTACTGCATAATTAATAAGAAGTTACTCGTCCTCTTCGTAAGCTATTTTGATTTTCCACAATGAATACTTGCCGAGAGGATCTTTGAGGAACAGGGTTAGCGGAAGGGTTGAAGGGAAAACAAAGACAGACTGTGTCTATCCAAACATTGCTAGGCATCACAACCCGGAAGACCAGCTAAGGATACAGTCCATTAGTAAACTACTGTGGACGCGGTCTAGTATACCTTCGTGTTCCACGAAAGGCGAAGAAATTCTTGACCACCTGAGTGATTGCCATCTTCTCTAGATGATCCCTGCTCTGTAGGTTTAGCTTAATAAATACTACATTTTAATGGATATGACGAGACATTGACGTTAAGCCTTAATTTGCGACAATAACCCGCTAAAATTACGCTGGCTTATTTCATTTATTAATCTCAGAAGGAATTTCGTTTAAGAAAGGATATACAAATCGTATGAATAGGCCTACACAAGGGTTTATACAAAAACCGAATTTTGAAAAAACCGGTTTCGAATTCCAGTATTTCAAAAAAACCGGTTAAACCGGTTTTCCAATTTTTACAAAAAAATATTTAAAACATTAAAAAATATTTATACTATTTTAATTTGTTCAGTTTATTTAATATTTAAGGAACTACAAAAATATAACAAAATAAAATATACTCTATACAAAACCAAATAAAAAACTAAAATCCGTACAAAATATGAATTATAAACTATGTCGTTAGCTAGATAAAAGTTAAAAATTTGTAGCCTCTCAGAAACTAATTCTAATGTTTTCTTAGCATCGCAGGAACTAGCTATTGGAACTAAGCCCAAGTCCGCAAAATGGTGTACGTTGATATTCAAATATCTGCGATTTCTTTTGCTAGTCCACTCATCTAAAGTTATAGAAAATTTTTTCCCATTCTTCTTAATACAATCCAATTCATTTATAATTTGACGTTTGACATTGTCATAAAACATATGAATGAGATCCATTACTCGAGAGTTGTTTTTTGGTAATGAATATCCCCGTTGTTGCAAAGACTCTCGTATGAACGAGCTTGTTGTAATGCTATTAATGGACAATCCATCCATTGCAGCAAGTTTTGCTATAATTTCTTCAAAACTGCTATTTTTCACGAAAGTAAAAATAGAATGCGTTTGTGGATTTGCATGTCAAACATTCTAATGACTCATGAAGATTAGTTTTACTACAATATGCTTGTGCCCTAGGCGATTTAAAGTCAATATATTAACGTTTTTAATTAATTAATTAACTAATTTTTCCATATTAATTCTACTATCTGAAACCGGTTTTTTAAATTTTAAAAACCGGTTTTAGAATTTAACAAATTTATCCAAAAAAACCGGTTTTTAAACCCAGTTTTTAGAAACCGACAAACCCTAGCCTACACCAACCCTGCACGGTGGTTCTACCATCTCCACGACCATCTACCCCGACTGAGGAGTTTCGTAATTTTTATCGAATTTTTCAGACCAAAGTTGGGATTTACTTTGAACCCTACCACGACCCATTCCTCATCATTTTCAATTCCTCCGTAATCTGATTAAAATAAAAGAAATTACGAGTAAAATCCGCACAAAACCCTTTACAATTCACAACTGATTTATCGGTGGTGGAATGTTTAAATTTTTCTCAGTGATGACAGGAGATGCTCGAAGTATGCGCAGTTAAGTTTGATTTCGTCATTTAACGTCGTCTAGTCCATCACTTTATCGAATTTTCGTAGTTCAGTGTCCTAACCGTTGAGATGCTTTATTCCAGCTCGCATCCCCGTAATGTTTCCCTAGTGTCCACTTTAATATTATCCTCCATTCTACACGATACACGAACTGTAACCGAAGGAATTTTCCCTTGAGGTTTTTATACATTATGTGGAACAGAGCACGTCTTGAAGAAATAACAGTAATAGCTTGTCAAAAAATTGTTCTCGTTTCGTTAATCTTTATATTCATTGTCATGTTCACAAGAACCCGTCACAAGTTACTATGGTGAATCAGATGAATCAAGTACACATCCTCGTATCATATTCTTAAATTAATTTTAGCAGTAGCGTGCCATCTACGTCGAAGTCTACCCGATGTGAAATTCTCAAGTTCCACGCGTGCTACATACTCCACCCAACTCATACTCCTTGACTTATCACCTTAATAATTTGTCACCAAAAGTACAGCTTATGAAACTTTTTCCATGAAGTCCTCTTCCTTAAGCCTAAAAAGTGTGTCCCTCGGTGCTCTGTACTGGAACCTCACTCTCTGTTTTACTTTTGAGTCCAAATTCTGTGTGAATTATAGTTAACTACTTTTTATAACTATGCTCTTTGGACATGTAATAACACATTATAAAGGCGCATAAGCAAAATTATGTATATAAATTTGTTATGAAGTCAAGTGAAAAATGTTAAGGAACTGCTTCTGAAAAGAACAGCCCAACAGTAGCCCCTAACTTCAATACAATTAGGTCTACTGAATCATTAACATTTGCTGTTGTCTGCCCACAGAGAGTGGCCCGCTTGTCAGGAGACTGCCTCGTCACCCCCCGAGGGACAACAAGGTCAGTTTGCACAAAAACACGTCATTTGCATTTGAATTATCATCCGTTTAACCCGTCGCATTTCCACAAGTATGTGAAAACTGCGTCCTGGCTTTGTCATGTCTATAGGTTCATGTTATTCATTTTTGAATTTATCCTCTCGCTGTTTATATAAACATATAAACAGAAGAATGTACATAACTGTAATCCTCCGTGGATGATAGGGTGAAATTCAAATGAACGGGTATGAGATGTGATTGCTGCAAACAATCATCCTTCTGCTTGACACAATTGGTTCTAAATTTGGGTACGCCAGTGAAGACTTAAGATGCAACTAAACAGGTTGATTCATTACCGCTCGCAGAGCCGCCGTCCACTCGCGTTTTTTAACTCGATGGGTTTATTTCACTAGTGACGTCATGTATTGTAACAATTCGTCACACCGACAGGCACAAAGTTATCAGGCTTTCTATAAAAGGGCGAACTCTAACATAATGACTGAGTTTTGTGGCACGCCTGAAAATCGATATTCGGCAGCGCTGTTTGGCCAATGATGCCCGTGTACCGGGTAGACCTACGTAGTAGTAGTAATGATTTGTGGCACAGAAACACGCTCCGATAAAATGAATATCTGGCTTAATAAATCTGAAATAAAAATGAAATCTGTTTATTGAAAAGCGCTATTTTCATTTATGAAGAGTTCTCGGTACGAAAAATTGTGTAAATACATTTATCCAGTAGCTGTCAGATATATTTGCGAAACTTTCCTAAGATTTTTTGCAACTCTTTTTAGTTTCCTTGGAAGTGCGAGGCCAAGGCAAGTCGTACAAAGCAGAGTTTGCCAATCATAATATACTCACGTAGCAAGTCATTGGAAAACAATGCATTTTCTATTTTTGGTGATGACGAGTGTGTCAGGAAATCAAATCCGCATATGGACTAATTTATTAGTCGTATCTACACACGTGTGCACATCCTATGGCGCAACAGTGGTTTCAATATTAAATAAAGATGAGATAAAATAGCTGATCACAGATTATGAAGCATCCGTGCATGCGACTTATTACAGACAAGAGGAGTTCTCAAGTGCGGAGAAGAATGTGCACGTTCAGGAATTCCAATTACGTTTTAATGTAGAAAGGAAACTCCTGTGCTAAATTAAGCGCCATACCATAAAGACACATGGGAGAGCGGATATTCTGAAAACCTCGACACTAGGTGGGGGATGAGTGATGTGCCCTGGATATTCAACGCCGTCGGAAATCCCCCGGTGGCAACTGGATAGGGGGCTCCGGTCAGGACTTTGTTGGGAATCGAACACCGGTTATCCATTCATATGACCATGCCATTCTTTCATATAATTGTAAACTGCTTTTTTAATTAATGCAGTGTTGCCTTTCCTTCCCGTTACAAATCTAAGAAAAATGTAAGATTAAAATATTTTACTCGTTCTATGTGGGTGTGAAACTTAGTCTCTCGACCTAAAGGAAGTAAGGGTAAGGATGTTTGATAAGAAAGTAATAGGACAATATCTGGACCGAAGAGGTAACAGGATGACGGAAAACAATTAAGTAGACCTAATACGTAACCTTCAAGAGGATGATATGAGTGGCGCGTAGCACGCATGAGAAAAATGATTTACCTGAAAAAAGTGACTACATGGGAGACCTAGCCGTTGTTGGGAGATGATATTAAAATGGATGTTAAACAAATGCTGGGTGAGGGCGTGGACTGGATACAACTGACTGAATGCAGGGTCACTGACGAGTTGTGGACGTGGTAACGAACATCGAGGTTATATAAAAGGGGCGAATTTCTTAACTAGCTAAGCGACTACTAGTTTCTCGGTATGTTTTGCCTTTTGGGAAATTTAGTTCGAGGGAGAAGGTCTATACTCCAAATTTTCAGGTAAATTTAACTTTTGTCCGTATTGATCTCGTGGATTACAAGATTACATAAATGAAACTCACACAAAAAATTAATAATTACAAATGACTCTCTGTAATTATTAATTTTTTGTGTAAGTTTCATTTATGTAATAATTACAAATGACTCTTTGTAAGGGCCTACTGAAAATTTATGCATAACAGTATATATATGTCTTTACGATAATGAATTATTGGTATAAAAATGACATGAAGGCCAACGCGTTTTGCGACGTCACAAGGGATACACGTTGAGATATGTTCTAGTGTAATCGTGAGTCCCTCCGTTGCAGGAACGTCGGTCTCGGGGCAGTGTGTGGTTACAGTCACCACGAATGGGGATCACAGCTGACGACTTGAGGCAACAAGCCACAACACAAGGCCAGGAAAAGGCGAACTTCTCCAGCAACAGTAACCCGAGTAACAGCAATAACTCTGAGTATCGAAGTGAGGCTAGTGTGGACTGTAATTCCCCGTCTGGGAGGCATGAGAAGTGCAGTAGAGAAGAGATACTGAAACACCAGCAACAGCAGTGTCAGCGAATTCTTCTGCTGAGGAGGCGCGAGAGTCTCTTGGACATCACAGTGAGGACTGTGAACCTCATTCGGAGGAACCAACAGCTGCAGCACCGCTTGGCTGCTCTGCAGGCAGAGACGAGGGCATTCGTCAGGTTGGTTCATAGAGAAACAAGATAGGAACAGTACGCACTGCCATGTTCGCCATAATTTCACCCTTGACATTTGCGAATGGCTCCAGTCATGTCAGAGTTTCCAAGGGTCAGTGACCTTTCTGTGGGAGGCCTGTCTGCCTTCGTGATGGCGGTATCAGGGAGGATTCCACCTCCACAGGTAACCATGGCAACCAAGATAACCAACTAAGCATGGTAACGAATAAATGTCTGCAGAAGAACTCATGCTTTTATGTAAAGTGGTTATTAAAGTTGCCTTATATGAATTAAAATTTTAATGACCCCACATTTTTTAATAAAAGTCTCTAATATCAAAACTAAAGTTCAGAGTTGATTAATAAATTTTTGAGTTGTTTCATTCAAATGGACATACAGGTGGATGAAGCAATTTTAAGTCACTCTGAAGGGTTACATTAATTCCCTCAAATTTTTGTGCCCTTGTGCAGATGGCAAGTACATCTGAGGGTAAAGACAGCTTTATGCAATATCATGAAAATTCTCTTCTCAACAGAGCTAAAACTTCAAACTCTAAAATTGTTGCCATGTGTAATTCTTCATTTGCTAACAAACATTTTTTTTTATTTTGGTCTACAAAAAAAAATGCGTAGTATTTTTGGCATTTTTATACATCATAATTATATTATTTTAGTTGTCTCAGATACATTCATGTTCTATGTATTTGATTACTGTACTCATACTTCAAAGAATGAGATCTCGTATCTTCCAGATACCACTCCTTCATTTTTATACAGTCTGGAGTTTTTAACTTGTGATTTTTGTATTCAGGTCTGTGCTGAACAACCCAGAGAATCGGGCAATTCGAGAGTTAACCTTAAAGTCAAGAAGAAAGTCAAGAAGTGAGGACGAAAATGAAGATAATGGCTGCAAGAGAGCGAGGTTGGAAGCTAGTGCCACTAGCACCGCCACCACCACCACCACCACAACTACAACCACTGCTGCCACAACAACTACCTCTGTTACCACAGTGAAAAAGAACCAAACTGTCTCCGAGCATAACAACAATGAGAAATGATTCCTATATTGTAAAGAAATGGTTATGTATTTATGAGAGAAGTGACAACAGTTTTGGAACATTGCTAGAACCTGTCGTGAACGCGCAGTTTCTAGAAAAAAAGTTAGGGTTGCCTTTGACCCTGGAGTGGTATGGTTTTTCTTTCTCAAGAATCTGTGCTGACTATCAAATTACAAGACCTGCGTGATGTAAGGTCTTTGGCATTGGCTTCGTTTTATGAGGAATATAAAAATTTGTGAAGTTGCAACAGAGAAAACAAGCAGTAATAATTTCACAACACAAAGTAGTTCAGAATGGTATTTAAATTTCACTTATTTTTCCAATGCACATTGCAGTACTGCTTCAAATTCAGTATTTGAATTTCCATATTGCAGACGTTCTGAAGACAAAGTTAGGAAGATATTGAATAATATAAACTTCATATGTGACAAGTGTGCCTCAGGTTTGTCTTCCTACTCACTTGCATCAACAAGTTTGTCTTCGATTGTAAGAACTAATATTCTGCGAAATGTAATAACTTTTTCTTTCCGAATCATTTCCTGCGTCGTCTGTATATCTGCCCCTTCTTAAATTTAATTATTTTTAAGCTTCTACAGTTTTGATAAACGGGCATACTACTTTAAGAATGTTCTGCAAAGCAATACTTAAGAAGTTTTTAAGTGTGTATTCCATTATCTCCACATAATTTGTTACGTATTATATTAATACTTACCTGCGCAAACAGACTAACAAATTGTTAGGAACATTGCCCAAAAGTCAGTTACATGAAACAGTGTCATCGTTTTAATATTAGTGACATCTTTAAGAGAGTTAATTACACTAATATTGAATCAGGACAATTTTTCTGAAACATAAACCAGAAAATCAATTAAAATGAATTAAGTAATTATAAACATTTCTCCACAAACAAAATGTGGATTAAAAAAGAATAAAGATAACTAATTGGTGCTTTCTCATCCATACTGCTCTTGAGATGTGTTGAGGTCTGAATAGTCGGCACATTTGTCTAAAACTCGGTCCCCAGCTGGGGCTTCATCCACGGCCCGCCAGTTGGCGAGACTCAGATTAATTAACAAATGAAAAATGTGTTGGGATGAACAATGATCACTGTCACATGCCTCTGTACTAATTGCTACTAACGTTTTCTACACTCATTCGCTTTTACAAGACCTCCACAGACGTTGGTTATGTTTCAAGAATTTATAATTGCATGTGCAGTATAATTATAATTACACTGTACCGTCACTCGCTGTGCGACTTTACCAGTGTTTATTTCTTTATTGTAGACTGTCACGGAAGTAACTTTTTGAACATTGTTTTTCAACTGTCTTGCGGTCACTGCTAGGTTGTCTCTTTTTCTCACAAAAACCAGTGCAATTTTCTGATTCAAAAATGCGGTGAAATGTTGCTGCGACATAATCGACGCACCACACGAAAATAATTAAAACAAAAACTAAAATAAAAGCACGACATTCATAGATGTTTTATCTGAGTCATCAGCGTCTTCAGTTTTGTGTGCTTAATTCTGTCTTGCCTTCGTCGTGTTTTCTTCTTCTTTATTGCGTGACACTCCAGGCTTCGATACCTGATCCTGCGATAGCTTAATAGCGCAATAAACACTGACGAGGTTGTGTTATGAGTAATGGTATAGTGGAATTGTGGTTGTATGATGACAACACAACAAACTGCTATAGTACAAGCTTCTGCGTACTCAGGATTTAACATATTTGTGATATAACGAATGAGTATTTTATTCAGAGTAGCAGATCTTGAAGTAATCCATTTTAGACTATAGCAATGATACAAGTACCAAGTAACATTTAGACTGATATTCATGTTTTCAAACAGTATTGTAGTTAAAAGAACACTTTTTATTATGCTCATATTTAGTGATAAAGGTAGGATCTTGTAACTAGTTAGTGTTGTCAAATGATCAAAATTAAAATTTATAAATGTCAGTATCTTAAACTCCAACTGACGCACTAGTTGGTGTTGTCAAAATTAAAATTTATAAATGGCAGTATCTTAAACTCCAACCGACGCACAGCATGAATTTTCCCCGTAAATGATACATAAATTCTGGATATAAAATGTTCCAAGCATCTTGTGAATTAATCTGTAGAAACACAACAGAGATTTACTAGAAAGTTCACGCCTTCTGTTTTTATTGGACATAACTGCTTTTGATATGCGTCTATAGAGGATTTTCTCACAAAAGCGATGGCGTAATTTCCTCTCAATACAATGAAACATTCATTAAGGTGAAAAGACTGGATTATATGAACAGTATCTGGACCCTCGGATACCTTCAGTCATCAGAAATTAAATTAGTTATAATTATATACGTAATTATCTAAACAGATAATTAAATGTAGCGTTCTCAAAGATGGAAGTCTCTTTGTAAATTATAAATTTCAGCCAAATATTAACAAATCTTAGCGAAGACAATTTGAAAGACTTACCAAAGAAAGCAAGTTTCACTTACCATGATTATTGCATTATTCTGAACTGGATATTGTGGTCGTTAACAATAGAAAAATTAATATAGTATATATATATATATATATATGAAGAAAAATCAATTAAAAATGATTTAATAGGTTTATGTTACGGCATTGAGAGTCAGTCTAACGTAGCTTCAAATGCTGGTATGTAGCTATATATTTGAATGAAAAGAGAGATATTTGCTGGTTGGAAAACTATCAGTACCAAAGTAATAGTCCAGTTTTGCAGTGTAGTATCTTTCAGGAGATGGCGCACTCATTAAGGTACTCCGTAGACTGATGTGTCATGTGAAATAATTATTTACATTAGTGTTTCAGCTTATAAGTCTATGTGATGGTAATTATACTGTGTTATAAGCAATACAATATAATTAAAGCTGAACTTAATTAAGTTTAAAAACATTTATTTTTGTGCATGAACCATTCCATAAACTCTTACTGATATTTCATTTCTGATTAATAATAACACGAATTAATTTGAATATTTCTGTCTTCTGGGTTGTTGCGCTGTGTAGTATGGTCGATGAATCGCCCTGATGATGGAGGCAATATGACCTCTGAAACGTTGGTAAACATCGACCAGACTACACAGCGCAACAGCCCAGAAGACAGAAATCTTAAGACTCACCGCTGTGAAAACCTCAAATCTTACAAGAATTAATTTGTAGTTTGTAATTGCATGATCAATACTACATTATGTAATATCAAATGTTTAATTGAATTTGGTTTTCCATCTAGCACAGTGGTATGTATCATCTCGCACCAGCACATATCAGAACATTTGTTATTGTACTGTACACAATTTGTAGAATGACTATAGCTTTCAGTTATGATCTGTTTAACTTTACTCGGCCCTGCCAGTTTTTGAGACAGAGACTTCTGTGAATTGAATTCCACAACAGAGCCCTGACATTCCTTGCATTCACAAAGTTTCTTTTACTAAAAGTGGGGACGTGGCAAAGTCCGAACAGCCTTCAACGCAAAGTCTTCGGCACAAAGGCCTTTGTTCCTATGTACCCATAACAGAAATACAGTGTGTCCGTAAAATAATGGTGGGGTACCAAACAGTCATAGTTTTGCAACCAAGCACGATAGAGACATGAAATAAAGGTCAAAATAAAGAGAAACTCTCCAAGAATCTTACCTGTTCAATAGATTTCGATATGTGCTCCTTTAGTTGCCCTGCAGACATCAAGACGATATTCAAGCTCTTGCCATACACGACCGAGAACATCCGGTGTGATAGATGAAACAGCTTCAGTGATTCGTTCTTTCAAATGGTCCAAATTTGTTATTTGGACAGAGAACACTTGTTGCTTCACATAACCCCACAAATAGAAATCCATAGGGGTAAGATCTGGAGAGCGTGGAGGCCAGGCTATCGACCCTCCTCGTCCGACCCATTGCTGAGGAAATGTTTGGTTCAGGTAATCCCGCACGAATGCGGCAAAATGTGGAAGAACTCCATCTAACTGGAGAATGAAATTCTCCGGTATTTGGGGCACTGCATACCCTTCTAACATATCCAGGAAGTTCTTTCCCGTCACAGTTTGTTCAGCAAAAGAGAAGGGGCCAATGACTCTGTCTCGTCCAATTGCGCACCACACATTAACTTTCGGGCTATCACGTTGATGTTCCATAATGACATATGGAGGTTCATTACCCCATATTCTAATATTATGCCGATGGACTCGTCCTGAAACATGAAACGTAGCCTCATCACTGAACATGAACTTGTCTAAAAATTCCCCATCATAATCTAACCTATCCAGAATGTCTGTAGCAAATTCGAATCGTTTAATTTTGTCCTGTGGATAAATTTTATGTAACACCTGAATTGCAGTGCCCCAAATACTGGAGAATTTCATTCTCCAGTTAGATGGAGCTCCTCCACATTTTGCCACATTCGTGCGGGATTACCTAAACCAAACATTTCCTTAGCGATGGGTCGAACGAGGAGGGTGGATAGCCTGGCCTCCACTCTCTCCAGATCTCACCCCTATGGATTTTTATTTGAGGGGTTATGTGAAGATTTGTTCCAAAACTATGATTGTCTGTTACCCCACCATTATTTTACGGACATACTGTATATAGGAGAATGAAAACTGAACAGGCAACTGTGACAATGTTCAAAAGTTGTTTTGAAACACTGAGGAAAACTGTAGGTTTAATTTTCAAGTGCATTGCACATATTATCCAATGTATTTAGTCATCTGAAAGATGAGTGGTGAGTAGGATATCACACATTGTTCACTAGATTCATTAACAACAATACATCGCTTTTGTTGGTTATTTTCTGTGAGCGATGATTTTATAATTTTGCCCCACATTTATTGACATTTTGAGACAAATACGTCTAGAAAATCACCGTATTTATTTTAAGTATGTTGGTCGTATTCCCTTTCCTGAGGTATAACTTTAAAAATACTACATGCATCCAGTAATGTCTGACAAAAATGTTGTAACTGTCTCCATGGTTTGCAAATAGAGTTAACCCTCATTTTATGTTATCGTTGACAATTAACCTTCGTCAGTCAGGCATCACAGCTTATATATATGTTGCAGTTGGCTGTGCATGTTGCTAACATTCCATTATATCACTAACTCTGGAATTAACCCTTCCACTGCACATTATTTCCTTACCACTTTCCTGAAATAATGCAATTTTAAAGTAAAACTACATTTTTTTTCAAAAGTAATGCAACTGCTTTTCTGTACAACATCAAATGCTTCAAACTAGGTGGCAGCACTGTGCAGACCAACAAAAGTGTCTTTTTATAGTCGGGGTCCGCAGTGGCCGCGCGGTCTCAGGCGCGGGCCTTGTCCCGCTCGGTCGCTGGGACCGTGGGTTCGAATCCCATCCAAGCCATGGATGTCTGTCCGCGTTTTTCTGTGTTGTCCTGTGTACAGGTAAAGGCCTTGCGACGGGCCGATCCCTCGTCCAAGGAGTCCTACCGAATGTCGATAGATCGAGCCAACGAAGAGTTGGGACCCGCAGTGCTCAGGCACTTGAAGAACGGGTCGTTCCCAGTATCCCAGTGACTAAAGTTGAATATCACACAAAAAGGAAATATATGCTTGTTTGATATCAATTGAACATCAGAGCAGTAGGGTTAATGTCCAGCACTGTATTTTGGGGATTTAAATCTCCTATCCCATTTCATAACGGTTCATCGAAAAGGGACTTTAAGACTTTGTATATTTAAAGTCGAGAGTAAAGTAAAAGCATTTATTTACGTGGTTTATCCCTGAAAGCTGAAGTTACATGTTTACAGTTTTCCCTCTCATTTTGCCAGAGACTGTTATTATTTGAACATTTATTTATTGTTTATCAAGAAACAGGAAAACTATTGTGCCCTCACTTTGTCACAGCTGAGAACTGATTCATTTTGTTCTTACAAAAATAATAATAGATGGGTGTATAAATAAAAGGAATGTTAATTTTAAAAATTGATACATTCTACGTGTAAAGAGTACCATATCATTAATTTATAAAATAAAATAACATGGAAAATATTTTATTCATAACTCTTCTGCTATCCGTATCATTACCATTACTACATTAAAATATTTAATGCGACATATAGGAATGAAAGCAATTTTAAAACAAAATAATCTGCAAATATAAAGAATGAAATGACAACATGTCATGAAAATCTTATTCTGGAAGAACTGGTGAGATATCACAGCAATAAAACAAACAGCAACAGGCAGTGTCACACCTCTGCAAGGTTAGGCATGTCCTTCCTGAGAAATGTTAACGTCCTTGAAGAAATAACACATTCCTGACTGATATTCAATAATTGAGTGCAGTCAACTGTTTTACACCTATTTAACACGTTACAAGTGAACAGATATATTTTATGAAAATCTTAAAAGTTTTGGACTTTGACAGACATTGGTCTAGAGCAGTGGTATTCAACCTTTTTTGTTCGCGTACCCCCAGATATAATTTCTCTTCAACTTTGTACCCCCAAAGTTGGTGTATAATTCAAGTTATACAATTAAATAAATTACATTACTGATTATTCAGTGTTTATCATAAAATAATATATTTTTTAAAAATTTCACGTACCCCCTAAGATGTCTTCGCGTACCCCCAAGGGTGCACGTACCCCAGGTTGGGTACCACTGGTCTAGAGTGTTATTTTAAATGTATAACATAATTTAACGAGGAGACCCCTTTAATGTGTATTTATTTGAATGTATTCCATACCACTGTGTTACATTTCAATTCATTTTGTTTGAATTTAAAATAGTAGGTTCAATCCAACTTCTTGATGAACAGCACATGAACAGCTCGAACTATCACGATCCAGACTTCGGTAATTTTTTATCACATTGTGTATAAACGTAGTATGGCACCCAAATGTTTTTTTACCATCTAATAATCGAAGCTTATTGTAAGTGTATTTAAAAACTGAATCCGACCACTATAAGTTTTTGTTCTTGAAAGCAGCCATAGAAAATTTTTGAGAACCACTGATAAACACTTAATAAATTGTCCTGTAGATCCATGTGTGTAACGTAATGAGAGGTGAAAAGACTAAGAATGGCTGAATAAAATGTTTGTCATGAATTTAATATAGAAATTTAAGAGAAATTCTGTTGATCTGGGTTTCATAAACTTACTGAAGTATTCAATATCAGAGAGTTATGAACGTGTGGTTCAGTTAATACTGGATATTGGATAAATATCAGATGTGCTAGGCAATTGTTAACTAAGTTAACAGTACAAATTTTAAAAGTATTTGTCGTTTCTGTGAAAGATAATGTTTGTGTATATGTTTCTAGAGTAAGTTATTAATTCAAGGCATGTGTGAATTGTGTTACTTAATCTGTTTTGCTAGCAATAAAAATTCACTTCCAGAAACAGTATTTATTTAACGAACAGTACCCTGGAAACATGTGGAAACCATTTCGAATATCACAATGACCACATACAGCATAATATGCTATGTACATCGTGAATTTGAGCACCCGTTACTGAAAGAAGCTAGAAAGTAAGCAATTTGAGTGGTGACCTACGGCATAAAGAACATACAAAATTGTATTTATTTCCTGCCAGTTATTCTGTAGTTATGAAATGTATATTTGCACATATTACATGTGAAAACGTCAGTTTCGACATAATTCCTTAACATGAGAATGTTTATAAACCAACTCCACATAATATTCAGATGAATCTTCCCGTAAGTATGAATTTCGTGTGGTCGCCATATTCTTGTTTTACGTTCTACGAAGAAAATTTTCCTTGTGAACATTTATTTTCACACGATTTAATTATCTTATACCAATTCGATTAACTGTCGCTCCGCTCTCTTATATTCGCACGGCCTCGTGTTGATATTATTGGCAATTGTAAATTAAAGATACAATCTGTGGGATGGCCTGTAACTT